TGTTTATTATTATTATTATTATTACTATTATTATTATTTGTGTATGGTATGTTTCCTGCTTTATATCCATCAAGTATCCATTCTGACACGCTAACTATAATTTTATCAAATTTCCCACTTATTCTACAAAGCTGTCATGTCTCTTCTTTGTAGAAATGTTTCCCAGTATTATTTGTACTGATTTGTACAAATATCCTGATTTGTGGATGCTATTATAGTGCTTTTCGTTTCCTTCTTCAAAAAAATCCTTTCCAACCATTTCTATGTTATTTTCCGTCTAATTCCTTCGTTTGTTTGTCTTCTTTTTTTTTTCGACTGCTCATACAATCTTTTCATTTCTTAAGCCACCTTATGCTCCGTTTTAATTCCTTTTGAATTTATTTCACTTATTCCCCTTTTCAAATCTTGTTCTTTTTTATCAATTTCCATCAGTTTCTTCTTCTTGTCTACGTAATTCAAGAGTTTAGCTCTTCTTTTTGATGTAATGGAATAACCCGGCACCCCCATGAATGATTACACTATAGGTAGTAAGTACCTATAAATTCAACTGTCTACGAGAGACGAGGTAGACGTGGGAAGAGTGAGAGAGAGAGAGAGACGACGCAAGCAAGTTCGACCTTCCAATTAGTGGCACTTACTACTAGATTGACTTGTGTGTATAACTGTACCGTATTTCATATTGTACTGGTTGTGTACAATAAACCTTTCTTCTGTTATCCACCTGGTGTTAAGTATTTATTCCCTTATCACGGAATATAACACTTTTCTCGCGCAATCTTCAACTAATATTAGCCCCCTTCCGACTAGAATCCACTTAAGATACAACCTATCAATATTCGTTTGTGATTGGTGTGCGACATATATCCTTAAGTGTTTCTTCGGAGCTTTTCTTTTTCTTTTTTTTCTCTGTCCAGTTCTTGCAGCTCCGCACCAGTCCAATTAAGGACACCTACGTCATAACGTATTACTGACACGGCCCAAGCATTGATAGCTGATATTGTTTTCACACCATCAAGTTTTGACTATAGTTTCTTACGAATTCGCCTGATGAACTAACTCTCTCTTGATGCCATCTTTCACTTCTTTCTACTTTATCTCAACTGCTTGTAGAATATCAAGATATTTGGCGCGTCCGTCTCCACCAGGCATCACAATCCCATAACTTCTTTCAGACTTTTCCCTATTCATTGGCAAAACTGCGCAATTTAAGATCTCTAAAACCATTCTGATGCATTCGGTAAACATTTCTTACTGCGTGCACAATATTATCGAAATGTTTTCATTCTTGGCACAAAGTTTAAGATCATCAATAAATAGAAGATTATTGATTCTGCTAATGCCAGGACCCAGATAATAAGTAAATTTTGTCTGTTGTAACAGAAGAGTGACTGGTATTATCACGAGGACAAATATCAATGGTAACAAACTCTCTTTGGAAGATACCTATCCTGATGCTCACATTACTTATGTGGTTACCTCCTGCTTTCAGTTCATTATTCCACTGTTTCATACTTTCCTTGATCAAACCTTTTATATTTTCTGCGAAACTAAACTATTCTACGGTCTTAGTTATCGAGCTGTGCGGTATCATATCGTAAACTTTCCTACAATCAATCCAAGAAACGCCTAATCCAGACAATCTCCACTTACATTTGCTTAACACTATTTTATCAATCAATAACGGATCTTTGGACCTTTTACTTCCTTTCCTACACAATTTCTTTCAGATACCAAAAATAACTGTGAATCGAGATTTTTGTAAACTGCCTCCGCCGTGACCTCAAGAAGCAGTAGGTAAACAGGTTATGGGTCGATAGTTAGACTCTACTGAATCTTTCTCTACATCCTTCAGTCACAGCACAGCGGTCCTTCTGTATTCATTCATAGTGGGACAGCGCTATCTGTGATGCCCCTATTTAGTTGAACAGATATCCTCTCTTACAAAGGAACTGATATTTCCCCACCAATATCCTTACACCAAATCAGGACCCGGATCTTTCCTGTTAGAAATCTTTTTCATCGTAATCATTATTATTATTATATGCTTTATCACACAGTGTATGTTTTTGAATACACCGAGTACATGAAACTATGTCAAATTGCAACAAAGACCTCAGACAGACAATGCTTTCCTTGAAATATGTGAAGTGCCCAAAAGAGACGAGTTTTTGGATGACTCCAAGTTGGTATGGTATCTCCAACTGATCAAGGAAGTCAGTTTTAATGGGATTGATTCCAATGTACCTGTGTTTAGTAGAGGGTATTCTGCTTATGTCACCTGTATGGCTTTCTCTTTCTGCTACACACCACAAGCATCGTCTACAGAATTACTACTGTCCCCCCAGCAAGCAATGTAACCGTTTATATAGTAAGCGGCAAGTGTTGATACATTTGCATAGGTGTGATGTCTATTTCATCAAATACTGGCCAATGTGCCTCTCGGCCTCGAACCCGGATTTCCTGTTACAGCTGCAGCAACTTGAACATGCTTTGTACTAGGTAAGCCATGCTCTGTGTTACTACAGTGCCAATCACCACTGGAATCAACTTTGCATTCCTTTCCTTCATCCCAGACAATTTTGCCATCTCAACTTTCAAATCAGAGTAATTTGTAACCTTCACAATCACCTTCTTCTTCTTCTCCTTCTTATCATCATCATTATTATTATTATTATTATTATTATTATTATTATTTCCTTTGATTTCCGGTGTATACTCATTTATTTCCGGCTTCCAAACAGAGAACTAAGGTCAGAAATGGCATTATAACATTTTCCACTGAGAATTTTGTTGAGGGAAAAGTACCTAAGATCACACACATTTTATATAAATTAAGGCTCTTCGTAATGTGTGAGCTGTACTTGTGAGTACAATTTTTTTTTGTATTTCTTTAAGGCATGGGCTACCAGGAATCCCTTATATGAGTCTATCGGAACCATTTCCAATCAATCCGAGGGCTCCAACTATTGCAATTACTGATGCCGTCATATGCCCTATTTCTTAGCATTCCACTTCAAGATCCTTGTATTTTGATAGTTTTTTTTTTCAAGATCTTCAAAGATGCATTACAATCTGCCGGGACTGCCATGTCAATAAGAAAGCACATTCTGTTTTTTTACGGTCTGTGATCACTATATCTGGGCGATTAGCTTTGATTGTTCTCTCACTCACACTCTCTCTCTCTCTCTCTCTCTCTCTCTCTCACACTCTATGTATGTATGTGTATTATTATCATTATTATTATCATCATCATCTGTTTTACTTTGTGTTCAGTACAGTCATTTAACGCGTCATCCTCCGAGCCTTAGATTAAGACAATGCTGTAAATGAATCCGCTCTTCACAAATTCTGGTGTTAACCAATACTTAACGTATACAGTGTTTCTATTTTCTTTACATTGATAATTCTCACCTGAATATTTGAGCAATTCCAATGCAGTACAATAATTTGAATCACTTGTAACCATGGTCAACCAGGGATCTTTTCGGTACCATTTTTTAATCGAACCCTGTCATCAATTTTTATAGGTATAAAAATAGTTATAAGGAATCACATTTTAAATTTAAAGATCCGTATATCTATTTGTCATATTCCTTAACACATACAGTCAACGACGAAATTATTCGTACCCCCATCCATTTTGAATATTTTTATCCATTTCTCAGAATCTAATGCCCGTATGATGCCAGGTTTGTATATGTTAATAAGCACAAAAAAGTAATATAAAACTCAATTTCAGAACAACAAGTTAAATACAACAAATTTGACATGCGAATTATGCAAACTAAAAAAGACAAAATTATTAAAAAAGGCAACGAAAAGTCTGGTATATGGTCACCGTTATGGAGTGCTATGCGAAAATAGATTTTATTTTATACTAAGATAAAAAAAAAATTCGCATGGTTACTACCGAACCCTTAATTCCTAATTATTGGCTATTCCTCGTTTCCTGGAATTTCATTTCTTTCTCAATTCTCGTTTCTGTGTTTTTTGGTAGCTGGTGAGATTAATCGTTGCAGGGAACACTTCTCTACACAGGTAACACCTCATAGTTGTAGACAATCCCAGCTGGATTTGGCGAGTCTCCTCTCTTTGCTGCTTTTCCTCTACGTTTCTACGTCGTTCTTGTTTGAAAAGATTTTGAACAGACAAAATATTGGATTGGCGCAAAAGTTTTCAACATTTGCTTAATAGCTAGCCTTTGAACACATTATTTCGTTTCACAGGTGACCGAAATTTACGACATATATACGTATTCTGAAAGATGACGTTTCAACAAGTTTTTCAGTACGATACATGCGTGGGCTATGATCTAGAAATGTTTTTATGCTAAAAGTGTAAATCATTTTCGTCATTTGTGTAAGTGTGGTATTTAATGTTGCGACTAGAAGGGAGGTAACTCTGGTTATATTTCTTACACTGGAGACGCCAGACAGCATTGCCTTTTTTATGACCATGAATGATAATTCGATTGAATAATGAACAGAAAAAATCACTTCTTTGAAGTATCGAAAAGACTAATAACAAAAAAATGTTTCATGATATATTATTGGAATTATTAGAAAACCATGATGTCACTATTCTTTAGGATTTTACCATTAATACTGACCGACATATAAAAAATATAATAGACCAGACATTATGATTAAAGACGACCAACAAATAAAAATGCCTTCTTAGAAAGATGGCGGTGTCATAAAATAAAGATATACAGTCAACGACGAATTTATTCATACACTCATCAATTTTCAATATTTTTATCCTTTTCTCAGAATCTAATGCACGTATTATGACAGTTTTTTTTTTTTTAATAATTTTGTCTTTTTTTAGTTTAAATAATTCCTCTTTCAAATTTGTTGTATTTAATCTATTGTTCTAAAAAATTGAGTTTTATATTCCTTTTTTTTTTTTTGGTGCTTATTAACATATAAAAACCTGGCATCATACGGGCATTAGATTCTGAGAAATGGATAAAAATATTCAAAATGGATGGGGGTACGAATAATTTCGTCGTTGACTGTATGTGTTAAAGAATATGACAAATAGATATACGGATCTTTAAATTTAAAATGTGATCCCTTAGATGAGAATTATCAATGTAAAGAAAATAGAAACACTGTATACGTTAAGTATTGGTTAACACCAGAATTTGTGAAGAGCGCATTTATTTACAGCATTGTCTTAACCTAAGGCTCGGAGGATGACGCGTTAAATGACTGTACTGAACACAAAGTAAAAGAGATACTACTACTACTACTACTACTACTATTATTATTATTATTATTAATAATAATAATAATAATGATGATGATGATGATGCAGTTTGGATAAAAATGAGGCTGTTTTTCACCAACAATAAAAGACGCAGCTATTGTATTTTCATGTATAAAAGAGCGGGAGAAATTTAACTGACGAAAAGACGAATAAACACGAAGTAAGTAATTAATAGATTTATAAACAACAATATATAAAAGAAGAAAAAGAGGCGATTACAAGCTTTGAGATGAGAGCCGAACTTATCTTAAATGAAAAGACCGCTTAAATTGATTCATGATACTTTACGTCTTAAGAATCGGCTCCATAATCGTTCAACGTGTATTTCTTTAACGGCGTCACGATGCAAAACACATTCAATTTAAGATTGGTTGAGGAGACAGCAAAATATGGCTTCTGATTGGCTGGTAGAAGGTCAGAATGTGAGTAAAGTAGGGGAGGATAACTCCGTTCCCATTATAAATTTTAATATTATTTTAGCGGTTAGTCTGTCTCCAGTTCAATCCTTGACACAGCATTCTAACGATAAAGAGAAAATATCGATTTTATTTCTGTCCGCCATGGAAATAACAAATTTACTCGTTCTTTAAGAAGAATATTGGCTGGATGAATTACCAGTTATCTTTTATTCGACCGACACAGTTTCCTTCCTCTTCGTCTCATTTCTTTCTTATTTATTACAAGTATCATTTAATTCTAGAAATAGATTGCCAGCGACGGATATTTTCGAAAATAGCACCTCTCAGGTTTCTCGATCCTTCGCAAATGAGATGAGGGTGAAAGTGTTTTGATTTTTGTCGGACATGATTCAGTCGTAGTACAACGACTGGGTATGTCCAGTTGGTGAGCAAGAACCATCTGCCTTTTCTGATGCTTAATTCTGAGCACCATGTTTATTTGAAATATTGTTACTGGTATACTGAGTAATGTCAGGTGCAGAATTGTATCATTTCTGTCAATTCCTATTTTCTATCACTTTTTATCAATTTCTATCTTCTATCAATTCCTATTTTCTATCACTTTTTATCAATTTCTATCTTCTATCAATTCCTATTTTCTATCACTTTTTATCAATTTCTATCTTCTATCAATTTCTTTCCATTCATATTTTCCATAATTTTCTTTCAATTCCTATTTTCGATCAATTTGTAGCAATTTCTATTTTCAGTCAATTTTTTCAATTCCTTTTTTCCATCAATTTATTCAATTCCAATTTTCTGTCAATTCCTATTTTCTATCAATTTCTATCAATTCCTATTTTCTATCAATTTTCAATTCTTATTTTCTATTAATTTATTCAATTCCAATTTTCTGTCAATTCCTATTTTCTATCAATTTCTATCAATTCCTATTTTCTATCAATTTTCAATTCTTATTTTCTATTAATTTATTCAATTCCAATTTTCTGTCAATTCCTATTTTCTGTCAATTTATTTAATTCAAATTTTCTGTCAGTTCCCATTTTGTAGCAATTTCTAGCAATTCCTATTTTCTATCAATTTTTTCAATTCTCATTTTCTATCAATTTCTTTCCATTCATATTTTCCATAATTTTCTTTCAATTCCTATTTTCTATCAATTTGTAGCAATTTCTATTTTCTGTCAATTTTTTCAATTCCTATTTTCGATCAATTTGTAGCAATTTCTATTTTCAGTCAATTTTTTCAATTCCTGTTTTCTATCAATTTATTCAATTCCAATTTTCTGTCAATTCCTATTTTCTATCAATTTCTATTTCCTATTTTCTATCAATTTTCAATTCTTATTTTCTATTAATTTATTCAATTCCAATTTTCTGTCAATTCCTATTTTCTATCAATTTATTTAATTCAAATTTTCATAATTTTCTTTCAATTCCTATTTTCTATCAATTTGTAGCAATTTCTGTTTTCTGTCAATTTTTTTCAATTCCTATTTTCTGTTTTCTATCAATTTATTCAATTCCAATTTTCAATTCAATTTTCTGTTTTCTATTTTCTATCAATTTCAATTTCTATCAATTCCTATTTTCTATCAATTTTCAATTTTATTTTCTATTTTAATTAATTTATTCAATTCCAATTTTCTGTCAATTCCTATTTTCTATTAGTTTATTCAATTCAAATTTTCTGTCAGTTCCCATTTTCTAGCAATTTCTATTTTCTATTTTTCAATTCTTATTTTCTATCAATTTTTCAATCCTATTTTCTATCAACTTCTAGCAATTCCTGTTTTCTATTAATTTCTAGCAATTCCTATTTTCTATCAATTTCTAGCAATATGTAGGACAAGTATATCGCTTAGTTCAAACTAATTTCCACGTCTTCATGTAGATTATTTACAGTTGGACGAATACCTTTATCTTTGTTGTTATTATCACAGCTGATATTTCTTCCAACCTTGAAGAATTCTCCCCGACCCCACCACCAACCACCACCACCACGAAAGTCTGACACGCTCTTTCTATTAACCTTTGCGCTCTCTTGAAATTGACCGATGTCTTGATTGATAAGTCTGGTGAACTAACTTTAGGTTCCAACATCTGTATCATAATGTTAAGTGGTTTCATATCCGTGCCAATTTTTGATGGAAATTTTCCAACCGTCTCCGTCGGATTCGTAGCAATTCGATAATTTCCGTCTGAATTTTGGCGATGAGGAATTATCATTATTTACATTAGTGTCATGTGTTGTGATAATAACAATAAAAATCGGGATAACTGTCAGGCTGTAAACAGTTTAAATAATAATTCATTCATTGCAAAGTTTCAAAGAGAAATTCCATAGCTTTGTTCCATTTTGCATTTTTTATGATGATAATTTTCACATGAACTTATACACAAGTTGATAGAATAATTGTACGGTTGGTTTCTTTAAACTATTTTTTGATTAACTGAAAAGAAGGACGAAGAAATTAAACTGAATGAACCAAGACGTAATGATTATATTACCTCATCGTATTTACTTAGTTTATTATTACTATTCGTTTGTCTTTATTATAACTTATCTCTAGATTGACTTTGTGTTTTCTTCACTTTCTCCATCTTCGATCTTTATTATACATTTTTTACTTCATTCTTTATTCATCCTTCCCTCACTTTTGTTCATCATTTTTTCATTTCATCCTTTATTCATACTGGACTTTCTTTAACTTATCCTTTTTTTTAATTTCATACTTTCTTCATCCTTCCGTCGCTTTTATTCATAGTTTTTTATATCATCCTTTATTCATTCTCTTTTAACTTCATTCTTTATTCATCCTTCCCTCTTTTTCATTAATCCTTTTTTTCATCATTTATTAATCATTCTCTCTGTTTCATTCATCCTTTTTTTCATCATTTATTCATCATTCCCTCTCTTTTATTCATCCTTTTTTTCATCCTTCTCTCTGTTTTATTCATTCTCTTTTAACTTCATTCGTTATTAATCCTTCCCTCAATTTTATTCATCGTTTTCTATTTCATTCTTCCCTCTCTTTTATTCATTCCCTTTTTCATTCATTCTTCATTTTTACTCATTTTTTTATTTCATACTTTATTCATCCTTCCCACTCTTATTTATACACTTTTTCAACATTCGTTTTTCATTTTTTCCTCTTTTTTATTCATCCTTTTTTTATTTCATTCCTTATTTATCCTACCCTCACTTTTATTCATCCTCTTTTTACTTCATCCTTTATTCTATTTTGTTTAACCTCTTTTAACTTAATTCTTCATTCATCCTTCCTTCTATTTTATTCATCCTTGTTCCATCCTTTACAAATCTTTCATCCTTTCTTTTATTCATCCACCCCTCTCTTTTATCCATCCCCATTTTACTTCATTCTTTTTTTATCATTCCCGCTCTTTTATTCATCCTTTTTTATTTCATCCTTTAATCATCATTCTGTCTCTTTTATTTATCCTTTGTTTATTTCATCCTTCACCTTATTTGTTCATCCTCTTTTAACATCATCATTATTTCTTCATCCTTCCCAATGTTTTATAAATCCTTTTTAATTTCATCCTATATTCATTCTTACCTCTATTTTATTCATTCATTTTTCACTGCATCCTTTATTCATCCTTTTCTCATGTTATTTATCCTCTTTTACTTCATCTTTTATTCTTTCTTCCCACTCTTTTACTCATCCTTTTTTATTTCAGCCTTTATTTATTCTTCCCTCTCTTTTATTCATTCTTATTTAACTTCTTGTTTATTCACCCCTTTTTCCTCTTTTATTCATCATCTTTCAACTTCATTCTTTAGTCATCCTTCGCTTTTCTTTTATTCATCATGTTTTTACGTCATCTTTTTTTTATTTCATCCTTTTTTCTCCTTCCCTCTCTTTTATTCATCCTCTTTTTACTTCATCCTTTTTTCTCCTTCCCTCTCTTTTATTCATCCTCTTTTTACTTCATCCTTTTTTCTCCTTCCCTCTCTTTTATTCATCCTCTTTTTACTTCATCCTTTTTTCTCCTTCCCTCTCTTTTATTCATCCTCTTTTTACTTCATCCTTTACTCATCTTTACCTCTCTTTTATTCATGCTTTTTTATTTTATCCTTTATTCATCTTTACCTCACTATATTCATCCACTTTTTACTTTATTCATCCTTCTCTCGCTTGTTCATCCTCTTTTTAATTCATCCTTTATTCAGCCTTTCTTCTCTTTTATTTATCTTGTTTCAACTTCATTCTTTATTCATCATTTCTTCTTTCTATTCATCCTCATTTTACTTCATTCTTTATTCACCCATCTCTCTTTTTTATTTATCCTTTTTTATGTCATGATTTATTCACCCTTCTGGCTGTTTTATTCAACCTCTTTTTCCTTCATCACTTATTAATCCTTCCCTCTCTTTTAATCATCCTTTTATATTTCATCCTTTATTCATCCTTCTCTCTCGGTTATTCACCCTCTTTTAACATCGTTCTTTATTCTTTCTTCACTCTCTTTTGTTAATCCACTTTTTATTTAATACTTTATTCATCTTTCCCTCTCGTTTATCCATCCTTTTTTTTATTTCGTCCTTTATTCATCCTTCCCTCTCTTTTATTCATCCTATTTTCACTTAAACCTTTATTCAGAGTTACCTCCCTTTTATTCATTCTCTTTTACAACATTCTTTATTTTTTCTTTCCTCTCTTTTATACATCCTTTTTCTATTTCATCCTTTATTCATTCTTCCCTATTTTTTATTCATCCTCTTTTAACTTTTATCCTCTTATAACTTCATTCTTTATTCATCCTTTCCTTTCTTTTGTTTATTCTTTTTCTATTTCTTCCTTTATTCATCCTTCTCTCTTTTTTATTTATCCTCTTTGAAATTCATTCTTTATTCGTTTTTCTCACTCTTTTATTTATATATTTTAACTTCATTCTTTATTTGTCCTTCCCTTTCTTTTTTGTTCATCGTTTTTTTTATTTCATCCTTCATTCATCATCCCCTCTGTTTATTGATCCGTTTTTTGTTTCATCCTTTATTCATCCTTCCCTCTATTTTATTCATCCTTCCCTTTCTTTTATTCTTCCTTTTTATTTCATCCTTTATTCCCGCCCTTTTAATTATCCTTTTTCTATTTCATCCTTTATTTATCCTTCCCTCTCTTTTATTGATCCACTTTTAACTTCATTCTTTAGTCATCCTTCCCTCTCTTTAATTCATCATTTTTATTTCATCCTTTATTCATCCTTCCCATTTTTTATTCATCTTGATTTAACTTCATTCTTTATTTATTCTTACCTCTCTTTTATTCCTCCTTTTTCATTTCATCTTTTATTCATCCTTCCCTTCTTTTTATTCATCCTTTTCATTTCATCCTTTATTCATCCTTCCCTCTCTGTTATTCATATTTTACTTCATCCTGAGATTCTTTTTCGCATTTTCTTTTCCTTATTCATTTACATGTTCTTCCTCTTTACCTGTCTTCAGTTGCTTATTAATTTTCTCTTTTCCATTGTTAAATTCTTTTCTTACTTAATTCTTTTCTCTATCCTTTCTTTTCAGTTCTTTACTTTATCTTAAATAATTGCTCATAAGCCTTTTTATAGTTTTTTTTTCTTATTTTTTGTACTTTCTTTCCACATTTTTGCAGTTCCCTTCCACCATCTTTGTTGTTTATTTCCTTCTCTTGTCCAGTGTTTTCCTCTTTTGCTTATCAGTCTAGTCCTGAGTATAACAATAAACCTCGTCCGGTAGCAAGATTTCTGATTGCGAGATTTGAGGTTTTGAGGACCGTGAAACCATCTTTTATTTTCTGCTGTTCCCAGGTGCGCCCCGCTCCAAGTTGGTAAACACCTGTTAGGGTCCCATCTATGGGCAAATAGTGAATCCCTCACAACCACTAAGAAAGTATAAACATACATTTTAATATAATAAAAAATTACCAACGTTACTTTTTTATAGCAAAATGACCAATAGTACATTTTATTTGTGTTTGAGGACATAGAATATATTTAGATTTAGGCGTTAAATAGCCCATAGAGGTGTTGATATGCTGCTAAACAAAAAAAAACAACATTAAAGAGCTCCCTTACCTTTAGCCCATATAATATCATAGAATTTCTTAAATCAAACTGTATTCCAAAATATAACTTTAAAAAAACTACAATATAAACACACAGATCACCGCCTCGAGTAATTATGCCCACGGAAACATGTAAGCTGAGTATCTACAATGTACCCAATTGTGAAAGCAGAATAAAATGTATCATATTTTTATTACGTCATAGCTCCATAGGAAATTAAATTTCGGCATTACATGACACATAAGGAGTTGATGTGCACTTAAACAAAGAAATCAAGAAATGAATCAATGTTTTTCTTGTAGTTTCTTATCTCTTTTCAGCCTCTACATCCATGTTTGGCAATATCTTTCTGATATTTTCTCCTCATCCTTTTCTCTATTTGATGAGGACAATAGTCCGAATAATGTAAATATTGTACATAATGCCTCATCTCAGAAATATAGACAAATACTGAAGGATCGGATAAATATAGCAACAAAGATAAGGACAATAGTCCGAATAATGTAAATAGTGTACATAATACCTCATCTCAGAAATATAGACAGATACTGAAGGATCGGATAAATATGGCAACAAAGATGAGGACAATAGTCCGAATAATGTAAATAGTGTATATAATACCTCATCTAAGAAATATATACAGATACTGAAGCATCGGATAAATATAGCAACAAAGATGAGGAAAATAGTCCGAATAATGTAAATAGTGTACATAATACCTCATCTCAGAAATATAGACAGATACTGAAGGATCGGATAACTATTGCAACAAAGATGAGGACAATAGTCCGAATAATGTAAATAGTGTACATAATACCTCATCTCAGAAATATATACAGATACTGAAGCATCGGATAAATATAGCAACAAAGATAAGGACAATAGTCCGAATAATGTAAATAGTGTACATAATACCTCATCTCAGAAATATAGACAGATACTGAAGGATCGGATAAATATGGCAACAAAGAGGAGGACAATAGTCCGAATAATGTAAATAGTGTATATAATACCTCATCTAAGAAATATATACAGATACTGAAGCATCGGATAAATATAGCAACAAAGATGAGGAAAATAGTCCGAATAATGTAAATAGTGTACATAATACCTCATCTCAGAAATATATACAGATAGTGAAGCATCGGATAACTATTGCAACAAAGATGAGGACAATAGTCCGAATAATGTAAATAGTGTACATAATAACTCATCTCAGAAATATAGACAGATACTGAAGGATCGGATAAATATAGCAACAAAGATAAGGACAATAGTCCGAATAATGTAAATAGTGTACATAATACCTCATCTCAGAAATATAGACAGATACTGAAGGATCGGATAAATATGGCAACAAAGATGAGGACAATAGTCCGAATAATGTAAATAGTGTACATAATACCTCATCTCAGAAATATAGACAGATACTGAAGCATCGGATAAATATAGCAACAAAGATGAGGACAATAGTCCGAATAATTTAAATAGCGTACATAATACCTCATCTCAGAAATATAGACAGATACTGAAGGATCAGATAAATATGGCCACAAAGATGAGGACAATAGTCGGAATAATCGTTTTTCTAGTTCTTACCCACTTTATTTCTTATAATTCCTTTCCTCCTTTTTAGTGTAGTTCCTTTCCTTGTTGTTTTTATAATTGTTTTTCTCCTTTATTCTTTCTTTTTTTTTTTGTAATTTTTTTCCTCTTTTTTAATTTCTTTCCTACTATTTTTCTCACAGTTCATTTGATAATTTTTTTAGATACTTACTCTCGTCGGAGTTCCGTTTTTTCTTCATTGTTGTTCTTTTTCTCTTTTGCCATTGTTCTTTTTTTTTGTAGTTTTTTACTTCCTTCTCTGTAGTCGCTTTCTCATTTTTTTCTTTTTTGTAATTCTTTTCTTTCTTGTTACTCGTTTCAACATTTTTATAGTTACCTTTCACCATTTTTATGTTTCCTACCTTTTTCTCGTAATTCCTTTCCTTGATTATTTTACAGTTCTTTCCCTCTTTATATAATTCCTTATTTCCTTTTTGTAGATATTTCACCAGATTTTGTAATCCATTTACGTTTTTATAACTTTTGTTGTTTTTTAGTCTTTTCCACCTTTTTAATTATAGTTCCTTTTTTTGCGACTTCTTTCCCCCTTTTGTCTTATAATTTTTTTAGATTTTTTTCTTTTTTGTAAATCCTTTCCTTCTTTTGTCTTGTAGAGTTTTGTTGTAAATCATTTCCTTTTTTGCAATCCTTTTCCTCCTTTTTTTTGTCGTTCCTTTTTTAGATCTTTTCTTTTACGGCAATTCCCTTCCTCCTTTCTTTTTTCCTTTTTTAGATCGTTTCTTTTCTTGCAATTCCTTTCCTTCTTTTGTCTTGTAGTTCCTTGTTGCAGATCATTGCCTTTTCTGCAATTACTTTCCTTCTTCTTTCTTGTAGTTCCTTTTTTAGATCCTTTCCTTTTCTGAAATTTCTTTCCCTCTTCTTTCTTGTAGTTTTGGTAGTAGATCCTTTCCTTTTTTACAATTCTTTTCCTCCTTTTTTCTTTTAGTTCCTTTCTTGCTTCTTATTCATTACTATTGGCTCCTTTTCCTTTCATTTTCTTAGTTAAGTTCCTAATTATAGTATCACCACGATCCTATTTCTCTGTCACACGTTGATTAAAACTGTCAACGTCTTTGCTGTAGCACACCACTTACTGTAAATTTTAGAAACTGTAAACAAATTTTTTCACATAAAACAATTAAAATAACAAATATTTCACATATTACAGTGGGAAATTCCATTCTTTATTGATCTGTTTTTCTCTGACTTGCATTATATTTATTGCCATTCTTCCTTTATGGCTTTCTTTGCTTTCTGCTGGTTAACGACAATACCGTCTTTGTACAGTAGATAATTTCTCTTTCCTTCGAGTTTCCCTTTACCCTCTTATCTAGAAGCTTCTGCAATTTTCTTTCGATGTCTTTTTAGTGTCACCTCCAATAATAAATTTTGGTAGGACTTCTACTTCTCTTAGGATTGCCTCACAATATAGGTTGATGGAATAAGTTTCTTCAACAATTTTCTGTTTGTATCAAAATGTTCTTTTTTCTTGATATTTATCGTATTTGACGGCATATAAGACGCACGTGTGTATAAAACTGTTATGGTCCAAGTCCTTGTACCACGGTGATGGTCCAAGGTAGAACCAATAAAGAAGAACTCGAACACGGATATGGAATAACACAGATATATTACAAACAGGAATATATACAGAGAAGTAGAAAGTGTTAGTATGAACAATCAGGTTTAGTGGGGAGAACAATGTAGTCTCGACCAGTATCACTATTCCAATGTCGTGTAGTAATTGTCTGAACGCGATTCTGTTTCGGACTGCCTCTGACTCGACTGACTGACTCGCTCGCTCTTACTGACTGACAGACTTCTGACGGACCTCACTCCAGATTTCAGACTGAACTCTGAACTCCCTGTTTCCTCTTGAGGCGCAGTATTTATTACGTATGGAATAGTCCATTATGTTATTATGGGTAAGGTCCCATAACAAAAACGCACCCCAATTTCAGCAAGGCAAATCAGGAATAAATTAGTAATTAATAAAATTAGTAGTAAATGGTACAGGCAAGGCTATATTTATGATGTATTATTTTGGTTAAACAAGCCATGATTACAATTAAATAAAAAATTATAAGGGAAAAAAAGAACACGAACCTATAAAATATTTATTATATCCAAAGGTAAAAAAAAATCAAGCAATTATTACAATTGAGCAAAACAGTACAGTTACCATTAAAATT